GAAGCAGCATGTAGTCATTCGTTAAGTTCGATCAAGGTGCGAAAGTTTGCGACCATTCTCTCAGCACGTTGCGGACACTCTTTCATCACGTGATCACGCAATTCGTACGAACTATTCAAACCAGTGCGTGCAATTTACCTAACGAATATATATTTTATTTTCTCAACGTGTACGCTACCGTTGAACTCAACAATCTCTACAATCTACATTTCACTATAAAGCTGATTTATTAAATTAATGTAATCTGTCTCAAGAAGTCTCGTCATTCTATTACCCATCAGATTCTCAGTCGAGAGTTGTTCCAGCGAACGGCGTTTCAATTCCGCACAAACACATTTCTAAATAAGTTTAAAATAAACATTACATAATTTATAATAATTAATAATATAATAAACATTACATACATTTTTTATTAATATTTAAATTACGCTGAAATTATAACTATAGAAATAAAATTATAACTTATTACAAAGAATTAATTCAAATATTTAATAATAAAATTTAAAAATACTTTAATAATTGATATTTTCCAAAATAAAAATACAATTACATTATTATTTTTATTAATATTAATATCTTTAACATTAGTTAAATAATTTTATGTAACATAACAAAATTTATGTAACATAACAAAATTTATAATTTTAAATATTAATATAAATAAAAAAATAATTTGCAGAATAAAATTATCAAACAAAACAATCTTTGGCTTTTATCACAGTCATGTAATATATAAAAAATAAACTCTATAAAATAAAATATCATTAATAATCTTACCTAAATAATCTTGCCTTAATAAGCTTGCCTTAATAAGCTAAAGAAAAATATAGGTTAGAATGTAAAAAATGCAAAAATAATAAAGAAAGACGAAAAATATTGAGCATCAGATGTACATCATTGTCTATATAAATTTTGCGTATTATGCAATTTTAAATCGAGTCAATTTTAAAATTTGTACAATTAATATTTTTAGCTTCAAAACTAGATCGAATAACACAAATTGACGAAAGAATATTATTAGATAATCTATTTTGTTTCTTATTTTTTACGTCTGTTACAATCGAATATATTCTTTCAGCCACGGCATTTGAGTGGAGGATAACAAAGGACTGTCTCAATTAATATTTCTAAATTTGAAAATAGTTTTTCTCCATCAAAATTTTTACATTTTAATATATTTTTTCACATTATCTGTTTCTAAAGAAGCTAATACGTTTTTCTGTTGTTCGTTAAAACTTGATGTAAAATTCTCCATTCTACGGCTAATTTTGTAATGTCAATATTTTTTAATCGATCAGCAATATAAGTTAAGTCTTAAATTTTAATTCTACCTTCATTATAAAGAGCAATTTTTGGATCTAAAAAACTTAATTGTTTAAAAAGTTCATTTTTATAAGATAGACGCCCAAATAAGAAGGGAGGGTGTGCGTCACGACGGGGCCCGACCACGAACCAGTCGTGAAAACTCGTAATTATTTTGCGAAAAAATACCACCTCAGCCAGGAATCGAACCTGGATCTCCTGCTTATCGGGCAGGCATCTTATCCCTTCGACTACCGAGGCATGTGATAATATTTATCGCAAATAACGTATTTAAAAATAACACGTCAACAATACAATAATACATAC